CGTCTGTGCAGTGTCTGTGGAGGCCAGAAGAGGGCACTGGAACTAGAGTTACAGATTGTCATGAGCCTCCATGTGGGTGCTGGGAACCCAGGTCCTCACCATGAGCAGCCCAGTGCTCTTAACCACTGAGCCATCTCTCCAGCCACCCCCTGCCAGCCTGCTTTCAAGTTTACTTCTGAAAGGCTCCTGGACCAGGAAGAGTACATACAGGACACAAAGCCCCAGGCAAAGCCAGCCTTCCAGGTCCCACACTGTGAAGAACTAACCACTCCCTCTAGACTTAATAGAACAGCCCTCACAACACAGCCCTTTTACATTCTGATTACTTAGAGCTAAAGGCAACAGGAAACCAACACCTCCAAAGAATGTTCTAAGGAAACAAGTTTTCCTTTCCTAGAGGAAATTTACATTTGAAAAGGTGTCCTTATCAAGGACTTGCTTAAATCTGCATAACAAATTTTACTAACAGGCCTGTATTTACCACACTTTCCCAGGTCACTTTCCTGTAAGGACCCCCTCTACCCACCCACGCTTTGTCCTTTGTATAGACCAACACGGTTTAAAACCTCAGGGTTATTCATGACCAGATACTCCACAAGCACATGCACAAAGCACACCAATCTTCCATGTGTTTTGCATGTCTCCATGCAAAAGAGCTGGAGCACCTCTTCCACTTTTCCACTGCTCTACTCATGGAAAAGCACATGAGTGTCGTCACTCCCTCCTCACTGCACCGGAGCCTGCCGGGCCCAAGCACCACCTCTGCTCCCTTGAGTTGCTAGTGAGTCATTTCTTTCGGGGACACACACACAAAAGTGGATACCACACAGGTTAAGGTATTTCAGCATCACCTGCTTGAGGGACAGCTCAATATGACAGGAGCCCACTTTATGACCACCCTTGTTAAAGGACCACAAAGGAGAGAATAAAGAATCCCTATGCAAAATTTGGCCTGTCCTACGTGGCTTCAAGTTACTGAGGACGGTGGAGAGAAGCTCAGCTGTGGGGAGACCCCACAGGCAGAAAGGACAGGCGTGGGGCACAACTGGTCCTGAAGTCTCTCCAAAACATGAAGGGCCTGGTCAGGGGCAGTGTCAGGAGACAAAACTGAACTCATCAGGCTGGGTGTGGTGGTCCACACCTGTCATCCCAGCGCTCGAAGCAGATGCAGGTGAATCTGTAAGCTTAAGGTCAGTTTGGTCAGCAGAGTGAATTCCAGGCCAGCCAGGGCGACATAGTAAGTCTCAGAAAAAATAAAGTGATTATGGAGAGAGACGTGGTACCCCGAAGTAGTGAACACCAGTGTGGAGAAGGCAGACCAGCTTCAGCAGCACGCCTCCAGGTAAAGATGCAGTGATGTATTCACCCTGTCCTACATGTCTTTTCCCAGGGTAACAGCAGAGTGATGCTGTGTGATGTCCAAGGCTTTTGCTGGAAGACACATAAGTACCTGCCTCTCCCACCTCTGAGGACACTCACCTTTGGAACCCAGCTACTCCATCAGTTAGAATCAGACCACAGGGAAAAGCCATGTGTAAGGTTTCAGCCCACATCCACCTCTGAAGGCTAAGTGAGGGACTGATGGCTTAACTGGGCCTTCAAACCTCTAGGCTGGTATGGAGTAGGGTGAATTCTCCTGGGGTAGCCTGTCTGCATTCCTGACCCAGAAAGAGAAACAGACATTGTTAAGCTGTTGTGGGTACTTGGTTACACAGCAGTCAATGCAGTTTGGGTATTGTACAACTTAGTGTTGACAATGGACAGGATCTGTGTCTACCACCCCCCAAGCTCCTGGCCAGAAATAAGTATGTAACCCCTATAGACCCCTATTCCCTAAGACAGTCCAGAAAACCAACTCTCAACATTCCAGTCTCTCTCAGTGTCTTGGCCTCTCCCTCTCTCTCTCTCTCTCCTTTCTTATCTGATCCCATCGAGAGCACACACCCCATGGAGGCCATCTTGGCACTGCTGTCTCTCAGTGCCTAGTACACCATCCACAATGACTTGCCCAATCAGGACTTCCTGATGGAGTCAGGCCAGGTGGCTCATGACTCTAATCCCTAGGGGGGCTGAGGCAGGATGACACTGTCCCAGCCTGGCCTGCATAGTGAGTTTCAGGCCAGCCAGAGGTATGTAACATGACTGTCTTTAAAAAAAAAAAATTTATATATATATATATATATATAAAATCTACTGTCTCCAAGCATGATGGTAAACACATGTAACCCCACCTCTTCAGAGGCTGAGGCAAGATGACTTCCATGAGTTCAAGGGCAGTTTGAACTACACAGCGAGTACTGCTAACCTGGATCAAAAAAACGAATTCCTGGGGCTAGAGAGATGCCTTGGCGGTTAAGAGTACTAGCTTTCCTTGCAGAGGACTAGGATTTGATTCTCAGCACCCACATGGCAACCATCTGTTAACTCCAGTTCCAGAGGATCCAACACCCTCTTCTGATCTCCACGGGCATTGCACAACACAGGTGCACCACCTACATGCAGGGAATACACTCATATACATAAAAAGTAAAAAGCAATAAATTAAAATAAAAATACATTTTAAAAAATGAAACCCTGTCTTTAAAAACAGATGTGAGGGAGGGGCGGGGGATTTGGCTCAGTGGTTAAGAGTACTGACTTCTCTTGCAGAGGACTAGGCTTTGGTTCCTAGCACACCTATGGAAGCTAACAACAGTCTGTGAGTCTCATTCCAAGGGATCCAAATCCCTCTTCTGTTCTCCATGGGAATTGCATGCGTGGTGCACCTACATAAATGCAGGCAAAACACTCATAGACATAAAAATGATTTTTTAATTTAAAAAACAAACAAAAAAACATGAGGTTGGAGAGATGTCTCAATGATTAAGAGGATTAGCTGCTCCTGCAGAGGACCTGGGTTCAGTTCCCAACACCCACATGGCAGCTAACAACTGTGCGTAACACCAGTTCCAGAGGATCCAATGCCCTGTATAGTCAGCTCCCAACACTCTTCTGGCTGCTGTGGGCACTGCACACATGGTACACACATATACATGCAGTCAAACATTCATATGCATAAAATTTTTTGTCTTTAAAAAAATAAAACAGCAAAAAATAAAAAAATACAAATACTTGATGAATTACAAAGATAACATCCAAAATGCAGCAAAGTGCTCGAAAGATACTGTAGTGCTAGGCAGAGAGGAATAAAGACCTTGTGCAGGAAAAGGCACTGGGCCCAGTCAGTCAGTTCGGGCCATACATGCCAGGCTGAGGTAGGGCAGAGGTATAGTCTGCCCACTGAGCACAGTGACAGCTGCTTCCTGAGCTGCTGAGGGGGAACTCCAACTCGGCCCCTCACACCTCTGCACCAGGCTCTTCTGTGGGCTCTGAGGCTTGGCTAGGGGCTGGCACTCTTACTGGAGAGTCTGCCTTACCCCTGGCAACAGCAGACCTTCTGACCTTGATTCACTATTCACACAGCACCTAAGTGCAACACGGGTTTGAGGGGGTAATTTCAAACTACCCAGGACCAGGCTGTGGCTCAGTCTTCTGTTTCTGAAGCCAACTATTCATTTTCCACAATGCAGGCTTCTCTATCACACAGGCCTCCTCCCCTTTCCCTGAGAATACTCCTCTGTGGGAAGCAGGGAAACTCAAATTAAATGCAACTGGTCCAACATGGATAATCACAGTAGCATGTTTTCAAATACTGGCCTAAGATTTAACCTGCCGTAAACAGGACAACGAAATAGCAGTCCCCTCCCTCCAGCCCTTGTAGTTCCTATGCAGGGGGAGGAATTGCCTTTAGAGATAGAGTACAGCATGAAAAACTTGAGCTTCCAAAAAGCCTATCTCCAAAATGGCACGAAGATTTATAGAAATCCCAGGATATTTCCTCCCGGATTTTTAAACTTCCATCTTGACAAAGTCTTCGCAAGTTGCTCAGAGGTCCTCAGATAAAGAAAATAAGTTTGGAAACACTCATCCAGAACCTGGCAGCCATCACTGGCTTGCTGTTCTTACTGAGAACCCTCACAGCTTGGACACCTGCTCCAGGCACCCATGCATGCCCACCATTGTCAAGGGAATCCAGAAAGCAGGGACAGGCTATCATGGCCCAGCATCCACGTCAGCCCAACATCCACCACAGCCAAGCACGGCCCAGCACTGGAATGTACAATTAGCCTTGTCCTTGCATGCACCCCATGGAGAAATGTGTTATCATTATTATTATCCTCACAAAAGTGGAGCACACAGATTAGGGAACATTTCTGCATGTGGTGCGGACTGACACTGGCAGTCTGACTCAAGCCCAAGTTTCTAAGCACTGATGCCACTGCTCACTAACCTCAGCCTTGGTGTGCTGCTTTGCCCTGCGAAGCCCTTCATGGATCAACCACACACCTCTAGCACCTCTGCACTTTAAAGCCTTTTTGTTAACTTGGAGCCCCTCCCTGGCCCAAAGCCCATTCTGTTCATAGGACAGAAGGTGAAGTAGAGTCACACTGTTCACTGATTTATTGAGATTTGGGGAGATCCTTCCCCAAGAGACACCACAGTGTAAAAGGGTTGCTACCTCCCACCCCCTCAGTTCACCTGTCCAAACCTGCATTTCATCCTGATGCTCACTCACTATCCACTGGAAGCAGCCTCCAACCTGCCCCCATTTCTTTTTCCTTAGTTCCCACAAAAAATAAAAATAATGATGATAATGATAATAAAGGAAGAAAGCTAAGAAAACAGTCCTGAACGAGGGTGATTTTGAGTACAGATGAAGACGCAAAGGGGAGAGGTAACGTTTGAGCAGAAATTGTGTGCAGAGAGGGGATGCACGGCCCAGAAAACATGAACTGGGGGAAAGTACTTAAGTGTGCACAGGGTGAGTGCACATGGCTCTGTTCGAAGAATAGTTATCTCAGCCAAGTGCACAACTGTAATCCCAGCACTCAGGAGGCTGAGGCAGGAAGACTCTCACAAGTCCAAGGCCAGCTGAGGCAACAGAGAAATACATTGTGTGCAGAGAGGGGATGCACGGCCCAGAAAACATGAACTGGGGGAAAGTACTTAAGTGTGCACAGGGTGAGTGCACATGGCTCTGTTCGAAGAATAGTTATCTCAGCCAAGTGCACAACTGTAATCCCAGCACTCAGGAGGCTGAGGCAGGAAGACTCTCACAAGTCCAAGGCCAGCTGAGGCAACAGAGAAATACCCAGTCTCAAAAAAAAAAGGGGGGGGGGTCAGGGGGGACGGGACATGATGATGTTAAGATACCAAAGAAGAAAGTGCACAGTGTGCTGGAGCACAGGCAGAACAGACATGATGTGTGCACGTGAGGAAGGTGGTTATCGAGTGCCTACCCCAGCACACCACATGCACTCACAACTGTGGATGCAGAGTACACAGGAAGCACAGGACCACACCCACCACGCAGGAGAGGGGAAGTGTGAGCCCGCACAGCCTGGAGGCAAGGAGCACGTGGGCCGGGGTGCGGGTCCCCAGAAGAGGCAACGTTCCAAGAAGGAAAACGTGGAGCTCAGTGTTAAGAACGAGGACAGAGGGAGGTGCTGCTACTGGGAAATGGAGAGGCTCCTGCTGGAGTGGAAAGAGCACTTGTGGGGAGACCCCTGCTGCTGGGAGCGACAGGGGTTGCCGTGGTAACTGCACAGAGGCGTGTCGTGGGAGGAAAATGTGGTGAGCTGTCGGGAGTCAGGACAGAGTAGCTAAAGCAGGGTTCAAACTAAACTGTGAAGTGGTGACAGAAAATTCTATGAATGAATACGAGAGAAAACCGTCTGTTTCCCAGCATATTGGAGACCCAAATAACCCCAGATTCACAGAAGGATAGGTATTTACAAGAGGTGGAGTTAGCACAGCTGGACTTGGGGACCTTGTTTGCTCCCAGACCCCTACCCTCTCCCACACACTCTCCCTCCCCTACTGGCGGGGTCCTTCCTGATATCCCCTCACTTGTAAAGCAAATGGACTCGACTCCCATCACAGCTGAGCCGGTCAGGGGGCTCCGAGGGTCCCCTGGGAAGGCCCCCAGAGGGGTCTGGGGGTGTTGGGGGGTGGCGTCTGGAGCGGAGCTGCTGTCGAGACTGGAGCTGATGGCGCAGTTCTGAGACGCGCTCCTCTTTCTGAGGGAGAGACACAATTGGGGGAGGGGGAAAGAGGAGGCCATGGAGCAGGGAAGGAAGGGAAGGGAGGAGAGATAGTGAAGTGGGGGGGGGCGATAGAGCAAGTCGAGATTAGAAATTAAAATGAGGAACCAAGAAAAGGATGAGGAAAGTCACGGAACGAACAGCACCAGGAGAGAAGGGGTCGGGGAAATAGAATTGGCAAACAAAAGGAGGAGAGAAGGGTCAGTGCACAGACTCCGATAAATCACACCGCGATGTACATCACCCCAACTGAACACTGTCCCCTCTGGCACTGCACTGGACAGCCTGGGCGCGGTGGACACTGCGGGCAGCTACCCCGAACCACTCTGCTGTGAATACACACCTCCCCCAGCTGCTGTGAACTGTGAATGGCTCACAGCTGCCACCCCCTAACCCCGGCCCTGCCGGCTCTTTTGCCTCGGGAGGCTGAGTTGATAGTTTCAGCCCCCACTCCAGAGCCTCCTTCACCTCAGGCTAACACTGGACTTTGGCTGAGACCGAAACTTGCCCCATTCCCGGGTTCCCGCTCCTGCTCCACTCACTCCTGCTGACCCCAATACTCACTGGTTCACCAAGGTTTTATGAGACTGTAAAACACCAACACTTCAACCTACATTTTGGGCTCAACTTTGGACCCCCTAAGACACGGGTCTCCTGGACTCCTGCCATCACCTACACACCTCAGCAATGATCTTCTCCAGTTCCCGGTTCTCCTTCTCCAACAGCCGTGATTTCTCTTCCTCGTTGTTGTTGGTGGACGACCCTGTCTTCATGGTGTCCTGCGTCTCGGACTGCCATTCCCCTCGGGTCACCAGCCTGCGCATCTGAGGACAGAGGATGGGCACGGGGTGGCCGAGCAGGCACTGAGTCAGTAACTAGCTGGTGGAGGAGGGGTAACAGGTAAATGAAGGCCAAGCTGGGCCAAAACAAGGGAGTTGTGGAAGGAAGAGTCAGTCCCAGGACAAAGAGGCAGAGGGTCCCAGGGCTGGGGCTGGCGGCAGGAGAGAGAGACTCACCTTGGGCACAAACAGCACAACCAAAGTGATGTAGGAGGAGAACACGATGGCCAGAGATGCGAAGGCAAAGGCTGCATCTTGCTGGCTGGAGAGAATCATGGTGACAGGGGCGGTGATGAGGCACAGGACCTGCGGAGACAGCGTTTGGGAGACTGAGTCAGCAGCTCAGGTGGGATGCAGGCTTTCTTCCCCCAGGAGAGCCCATGAGGACAGAACAGGGCCCTGGTGAATGTTCCCCAAATTCAGGATGATCCTTGTCCTAGGTAGACTGAACTATCACCTCTACACAGCTGAGTCATCAGAGAGGACAGCCTCTGTCAAAGGAACTGCCTAGATCAGACTGGCCTGTGGGCATATCTGTGGGAGACTGCCTTGATCTTATTTATTTTTTATTTATTTGTCATTTATTTATTCATTTATTCACTCATTATTTTTGTGTATGAGTGTTTTGCCTACATATATGTAAGTGCACCTCTGTCATGCAATGCCCACAGAGGCCAGAAGAGGGTGCTGATCTCCTTCAACTGGAGTTATAGGCAAGTTAGTATCTGGTATGTGGGTGTATGGGTACTACAAACTGAACCCGGATCTTCTGCAAGAGTGGAAGATCACTTAACCACTGAGCCATCTCTCCAACCCCCAATCGTCTTGATTATTACTTGATGCAGAAGGACCCAACCTACTGTAGACAGCACTATTCCCTAGGCAGATGGTCCTGGGCTGTATAAGAAAGCTAACCACACACAAGCCTGACAGTAACCAGGCAATGAACCAGCAGGCAGTGTTCCTCCGTGATTCCTCCCTCGGGATCCCTCCCTCCAGGTTCCCGAGTTCCTACCTTGACCTCCCTCAGTGATAGACTGTGACCTGTAAGTGTAAACCAATACACCTTTTCCTTCCTAAGTTGCTCTGGTCAAAGCATTTTTTAATATTTTACTTATTATTTTTATTTTATATGTATGAGTGTATTGCCTGGATACAAGTATGCCCGTGTCATGCAATGCCTGATGAGACTAAAAGAGGAAATCAGATCCCCTGGAGTCAGAGTTACAGACGGTTGTGAGCCACCATGAGGGTGCTGGGAATCTAACCTGGGTCAGTCCTTGGCAAGAGCAGCCAGTGCTCTTAACTGCTGAGTCATCTATCTCTCCAGCCCCTGTCAGAGCATTTTCATCAGTGTTCAACTGGAAGGAAACTAGAACCCTCAACTCCAAATAGATAAAAATCTGGACTAAATTACCCCAAACCAGTTAGTTTCCAGCTCTAGGTTAATGCTTCCCTTAGAACAGAGCTCCCAGGATCTCTACAGCCAGTCAGTCAGTCCCTGAGAATGTCTGTCAAGTCACCACTCAGAGTTGATCTGGTCAACTGTGGACCAGCAAGGAACATCTTTGTCTATTTCATGAGTGGAGACCAAGGCCTACGTCACAGGGTAGTGCAAAGTGACATAATATAGTGTTCTGTCTTTTCGGCCTCTTTCTTATGTGTGTCTATGTGTGTTCACATGCACATGTGTGGGCATGTAGATGAAAGTTAGAGGAAGTCAGCAGTCATCCCTCCTCCATCTTGGTTTTTGGACATGGTCCCTTATTGACCTGCGTCTCAGCAAGTAGGCGAGCTGCCTGACACAGTGACCCAGGGATCCTTGCATTCACCTCCTCAGTGCTGAGATTACAAGCACACACCACCACACCCAGCTTCTTCCAGTGTTGTTTCTGAGGATCAAACTCAGGTCCTCGTGCTTACAGGACAACTGACAGTCATCAACCCAGGCCCCGATGTAATGTGCTTTCTAAACTGCTGTGTAGCTCCAAGTTGAAACACTGCCTCCTGGAGGGAGGAGGGAGCCAAGTAACACTCAAGTTGTAAGGCTCAGGAGGCCCCTCCCTGAAGTTATACAAGCAGTAACCAGCTGCGCTGCTGGCAAAGATAAGATTCTGTAAGGTGGACAGAGAACTCCAAGGATGCGGTTTTTGTGGGTTATCACCCATGCTGGGCTTGGCTTCTAGATGACATAGCTGCCATTAAGTCCCACATGATCCTGTAAGTGACCCCAATAAACTCATTGGTTCACCAAGTGTGCTAGTTAGTCTTAATTCTCAACTTGACACAGTCTAGAATCACCTAAGAGTCTTAATAAGAGACTGTCAGATCATGTCGGCCAGCCCTGTGAGCATGTCTGTGGGGACTGTCTGATTACTAATGCCAATTGATGTGGGAAGACCCAGTCCACAGAGGCGAGGAGATGACGGGTGGGTAACTAATCCCCAGACAGGGGATCCTGGACTGTGTAAGTGCAGTGACGTGGTAGAATACAAGTAAGCATGAATGCATTTATTTCTCTCTGTTCTTGGCTGAACATGTGACTACCTGCTTCAAGTTCCTGCCCTGACTTCCCCTCAGTGATGGAATTCTAAGCTAAAATAAACCCTTTCTCCCCAAAGTTGCTTTGATCAGGATATTTATCACAGCAAGAAATGAACCTAGAACATTGAGCTGGATATCTGTAAAATTGTCTCTCTGGTGTATCGTGGTACTGTCTAGTCTTCTGATTCTTCTAGTCTACCTTGAAGAGTGCTATTCAGCATCCAGGACCAGCAGCGGGTGTCAAGGGAGCTTACCGCCACGTTGTAGATGGCCATGCCCACTGCCCTGTGGTCGTTGATCTTCTCAGTGGACACACTCTTGGTCTCATAAGCAAGAAAGATTCCCAGTAGAAGCAGCAGTCCCTTGTAGCCATAGAAAATGCCTAGGAAGGCAGGAAGGGTCAGCGGGCTACCAGGAGCTCCCCCCAGCTCCCTGCTTCCGACCCAGCCCTCTTCTTCCTAGCTCTCCACATACTTTGCCCCCGGGGCTCCTCGGCGTAAAGGAAGCCCTCCTTTCCATTCTAGCCCCTCTGACCTAGCATACCCTCACTGTGGCCCCACCCCTACACCCACCCACCAGGCCCAGACTCACTACTGCCTCCTGAGGGGAGGCTGGGAATCATCTGATAGAGACTACACAGTGTCTCACACCTTCCTTTCCACAGGGAAACAGCAGCAGTCCAGGCTGCGGGGCTGTTCACTATGTATGTTTGTAGATCAAAGGAATGTTTATGAGGCTGAAGGGAACCTGAACCTATCACCTTACAACCCTGGTCTTACACTGGGGAGCTGACCAGACATGGATAGGTGGGTCACTCCACTGGGCCTCTGATGAACACTCCTACCTACAGCAAAAGACTAAAGCTGTCCTGTTCTCAGAAAGTTTAGTGTAATGACAGAGGCACTGAAACTGGGTCGAAAGCTCAATCCCAAGCCTACTGCAGCCACCCCTCCCTTCTCGTAGGCACCCCAGAAACCCCACACCTTACACACCCAGCCATGTATTCATCTTCTTTGAGCTGCAGTGCTCCAGCTGGGGCAGAATAGACACATCGATGTCTTCCTTTGGTTCCTCCTTGGCAAAAGTCTGAGGGAGGAAAGACACAAGAGGAGACTCTTGCCCAGTGCTCCCCAGCCCTGGCCAGCTCGGAGCTCAACTCTGCCACATCTTCCCTATGAGATTCTCAGTGCTGAGCCGAGTCCTACTCCAGACAGGACTAGAAGGACTTGTTCTCCACTCTCCCTGATGTCTGGAAACCTACACATGCCCCCAGATCCCTACCACTTCCTTTCTTCAGATCATTCTAGAAGCCTCTGATGAGGCTCCATCCAGGAAAGGCAGAAGACCAGAAAACACTCTCACTGAGTAGCTTTACCCTTCAAGACCACAAGCCCCAGGGATGCCGAGCCAGTGAGTCCTGCCCAGTCTCCTACCCCAGCTCCTCCTTAAGTGATACCTCAATGGTTTGGTGCAAGGGGTCCACAATCTGCCAGATGGCAAGAGTCAGGACATCCATGCCCACCAGCAGGCCCACCGTGGCATACAGCTTCCAGGGCTCTAGGGTCTGAGTAGACATCCAGAGACAGCAGGTCAGAGGGAAGTCCTCTATGGCCAGGAACAAAGCCTGGGGCTGGGAAGCACCTCACCTTCCTCCATTCCTTCTTTTCCTCCTTCTTCGTGAAGACTGTGTGGACCCACCAGATCTTGGTGAACATGGAGCCATAGCCCAGACTAAAGCCCAGGCCCAGGAGCCAGAGACGGGCCTAGAAGGGGAAGAGGGCACCAATAAGGGTGGGGCTGAGGACATCCATGATGAACGGGGTGGCAGGAGGCAGTGTAAGCAGTGAGCAGATGACAGAGCAGGCAAGCGGGGAGCCAGGGCAAGACTCCCGGCCTTCATTCATTCCTCCGGTTCCTCTCCAACCCTACAGCACAAAGGTGATCTTGCTAAGACCTCCTGATAATGCCCAGTGTGTACAGGTTACCACCTTCACACCTCCAAATGTGACACAGTACAGTCCATCCACCAGCCTGGTCCACCTCCCTGGCCCTCACCTATCCAGTGGCCATCCCACCCATGCTGAACCATTCAGTCTCCCACATCCACTCTCCTTGTATTTGCTAGCCACATGTGTTCCCACTACCCCTGGAGCATCTCCTATTTCTCCAGCCGGTAGATCTCATGTATCTTTCAATGCAAAAATACCACCTCTTCCTGAGGCCCACTCAAACACAGACTGTGAACTGCCTCCGTTTTCTGTGCCCACAGCACTCTCTGTGGTTCCTGCTTCTTACCACTCCCCTCACACACAGCTACCTGTTTTTCCTGCTGCGCTCTGATTCATGGGAAACACACTGTTCCTAACAATGCGGGTACATGTGTGTGCAAGCGTGTGTGCTTAGTGTATGATCGCAGCAGGAAGGCAACAGAGAAGAAGAGTGCCAGGGGGTAGAACCGAGGAGAACAGGTGCTTCCTGAAGTACAGAAGAAAGCCTCTAAGAAGCCAGCCTGTCCCCACAACCCCAGAAACATCCAGGCACCAAGATTCCAGGAGGCCAGAATGGTGTCCCCCTCCCCCAGCTCCCCGCTTAGATCCTGTCTTCATCCTTCCAAACCCCAACCAAGGCTCCCATGGGAAACTTGCAATTCTGTTTCTCAGCCCCCCACAACACAGACAAGCCACCATTGTCCGTGGGTTCTGGATACAGACCCCCTTCCTTCATCTTTGGTACTGCCCTCCTTTCTTCTACAAGGCATACCATGGCAACCTTGCCACTGGCAAGGGAACTGAAGAACGGAAAAGGTTTAGAGCCCAGAAAAAAAGGGACAAAGCTAGAGAGAGACCAGAGGGCAATGCCAGGTGGGAGGACAGAGACACCAGTCAGTCAAAGAGGACAGACAGACACAGAGGGCTAGGGGAGCCACATTCTGCAAGGTGTATGCCCACCACCTCCTCACCTGGCAGACAAAAGGGAACTGGCTCCTCCCGATGTGGTAACCATCCAGCCCAAGGGGGAAGACAGCAGCTAATGCCAGCGAGCAGCCCACGGCAGTCAGATTGTTCAGGTTGGGCTGGGAGTTCTGGATATAACTAGGACAGGGGCGGAGAGGGTGGGAGAGGGAGAGGGAGCAGAATTACCCCCTCTCCTCCAGGGAGGATGGCTCTCCAAATGCCACCAACAGCTTACCCAGCTCACCCTACCTCCAGGATCACTAAAGGAGACAGGTTCGGGACAGGTGGCCAAGCTGTGAGGCTGGAGGGCTTCCCCCACACAAAGCCTACTGGAATACTCTATTGAGAGCCCAAGACTGTGTCACGAGGCCTCAAATGTTTTTGTTTTTGCCTTTTCCAGCTGGTGGCTTTGGAGGAAGGCTAGGGGTTACATTTGATTGCATTTTTGGTGAGTTAGCAAGGAGGCCCCTCTGGATCTTGGGAGTCACAGTTCTCTCTGCACTCTTCAGGGAGCACAGGCAGTACCTCAGAGAGGCAACCAGAGCAAGATCAAGTCAGAAGAGAAACTTACCGGACGTGGGAGTTGTAGATGTTAAAGGACAGACAGACAACAGCGAGGACAATGCCCAGGCTGGAGAGAACCGAGACGGAGATAAAGAGTTTCTGTGACAGGAAGCGGAATGTCTTGATGACCATGGTCTGGTCAGCTGGGGGGGACCCTCCTGCATGGTACAGGGGAGAGGGGAGGAGAAAGGAAGGAGGACAGCGGCATGAAGATGGGAGAGAGAAAGAGGACTACAAGAGCCGGTGGCCACTTAGTGGCTGGCTGAGGACACCGGGCCCTCAGTGCACTGAAGGGCTATGGCAGGCGAATGCTCAAGACCCTGGGGATCTTGGGAAACAATCAGAAAGTGAGAAGATGGAGTGGGTGCTGAGGGTCTTGTTCTACGACTGTTCTTTCTGCCTCTCTGTCTTACAGCAAAGGAAAATGGGAGGTAAAGGGTACGGCAGAAAAATCACCCCCAGAGGTCACTGGTCACCCCATCAAAAGCTGCCAAAGACAATTACAGAAGCAAAAGCCAGAGGAGCTGCAAAGTACTGAGTGTGGTCTTCTAACCTCGGGCAAAACACACAAAACTGATTTAAAGTTTGCTATTCCCCAAAGGGTGTTTTCCAGTTCAAATGTGCCGAAGGTAGGGGTGGGGGAAGCCCACCTAATTTCAATTTACTTAGCTTTAAAAAAAAAAAAAAAAAGCTAATTTAGGCCACATAGCACTTCTAACCGCACAGAACACTGTCCTAAATTCAAGCTACGAAAATACATAAAATAAAAACTGAACCACCAAAACAAGACATGCTGCAGCACTGGCAGCACTTGGGAGGCCAATGCAGGAGATGGCCACAGTTTTGAGGCCAGCCTGGCCTACAACGTGAGTCTGTCTCAAAAAACATAAATCAATAAAATAAACTAGGGCCAACAAGACGCATCAGTGGGTAAAGGTGATTGCCGTGTAAGCCTGGTAACCTGGGTTCACTTCTCAGAACCAAGTAAAAGTAGAAGAGAACAGACTCCACAAGGCAATCCAGAGTTCCACAGGTGCACCATGGCACGCATGCACACCCATGCACACACACATACAATAACAGTGATAATAATTTTTTTTTTAAAGCAAAGGCTGGAGAGGTGGTTCAGTGGTGAAGAGCACAGGCTGCTCTTCCAGAGGACCCAGGTTCAATTCCCATCACTCATATGGTGGCTAACAACGATCCAGCTCCAGGAGATCCAACACCCTTTTCTGGCCTCCACAGGTACTGCAATACATACATGCAGGCAAAACACTCATACACATAAAATAAAAATAAACAAATCAAAAGAACTTAATAAAATAAAAATAAAGCAACATTCCAGCGGTGCTGGGAATGAGACTTCACTGGGCTGGTGTGCTAGAAAGTTCCATTTATCAAGTCGATACACCTGGGGAGAGGAAACCTGATCTGAAGAATTTCCTCCATTGGACTGGCCTGTGGCCATGTCTGTGAGGCATCTTCTTGATTGTTGAGTGATAAGAGAGGGCCCAGGCCACTGTGGGTGGTGCCACCCTGGGCAGGTGGTCCTGTACTGTGTATGAAAGCAGGGTAAGCATGGGCCAGGGGATCAAGCCACTAAGCAGCATTCCTCCACGTTCTGTGCTTCAGCTCCTGCCTCCAGGTTCGTACCTTAAGTTCACTCAGTGATGAACTGTGGTCTGGATGTGTAAGTCAAATAAACCCCCTTTCCTCCCCAAGTTGGTTTGGGTCAGAGTGTTTTATCACAGCAATAGAAGCTAACTAGGACAGCAGATTAGGGGGCAGTCACCTCCACTGGCACCGCTGCCCTTCTCCATCAGCAGGAACCTCCCTTTGCCCATATCCAGTATCTTCCCCCTTTCCTATCATTTAGCACACTAAAACATAACTCAACACAATGCATGTGGTAACCAGGCATGGTGATGTATACCTGCAACCCCAACACTTGGGAGACTGAGGCAGGAGAAGCACTGTGAGTTCAAGACCAGCCTGAGCTAGGTTGAGGCCCTGTCTCAAAAACAAAAACAACAAAAGCCAGAAATTTAAAAAAGCAAAGCACATGGCAGCCAGTGACAACGACAGAAAATTTTGCCTCCTCTTCTGCAGTTAAGCAACCATGTCCCTCAGAGACAAACAGGCAGCTGTGGGTTTAAAGTCACTGGTTCATGTTGTATCCAGGCTCCTGGACGGTTTCTATTTCCCACCCCTTCTGCCATGCCTTTACCCCAGTTACCCCAAGAAAGCACTATCAAACAGGGTGACACTCTGCCTGTTCCCTCTCCACTTAGACTCAGTTCCTCTCCTCTCTTGAAGACTGTGTTCACTGAGTCCCTGCTTTGACCTGTGTTTCACCCAACAGCACCCTCCCTCATTCAAATGCATAATGGTTTTCCTTGATTATTCAGAGCTTACCGATCCACTTATCTGTTTTGGACCAGGAAAGATCATCCTTGGTGCTGTCGTAGTAACCAATCTTCTTATAGCTGCCACCTGAGCAGAGGACAAGAGTGACGGGAAGAAGTCACCAGGCATGCTCAAACGCCCTCCTTCCCCAAAGACAGCATCTAATGCCACTTCACCTGAGCAACTCCAGGATGCTGGGAAGGACCCAGGACCTGGCCCAGCAACCTCAAGCAACACAAGATGGTTCCCAAGGCAACTCGAATAAATAATACAACCCTAAGCGTTTCAAACCCTTCAAGGAGGAAGGCACGTCCGCCACCCATCAGGCCGCCTCACACCTCTCCCAGCAACTCGTCTCTCACTCTGATTCTGGCTTTGGAAGCTTTAAACAGTTACTGCTTATTCTCCCTCTTGTGATGGACAGAATCATAGGATCACTTTTCCCAGGGGCTTTAATTTTAGAACTCTCTCTCCCTTTGGCTTGGGTTCTAATGCCTTGGATAAGATACATCTGCCTCTGAAAGCCACTAAGTGAAATGCAGTCACTCTCAAAGCTCCTCTCCAGAACAGTCCCAGTTAATACAACTTTGCTTCCAAACACCAACTCACACCCACTTGACTCTGGCTGAAGGCCAGTCCCACTTGTCCCACATACAAGGACAGTGGAGAGGATGTGGGAGGGGAGGGAAGAAAGGGACTTTTCACAGGGGGCCAAGAAATGGGTCTCTTGGCCAGGCCACCAGAGGCAGAGTCTGGTGGAACTGAAACATTAACTTGTAGAAGTTCTGCAGCAGACTCCTAAGTGAACTAAGTTATTGGAAAATGCAATCCAGAAAAGTTAACTAGACATATGCTATTTTTACATAGGGAGGAAACTAGATGGATTCCCTTATAAAATAGACCCCGCCAGGTGGTGCATGCCTTTAGTCCCAACACTCGGGAGGCAGAGGCAGGTAGATCTCTGTGAGTTCAAGGCCAGCCTGGTCTACATAGTGAGTTCCAGGACAGCTGGGGCTACAGAGAAACCCTGTCTCAAAACGCCAGAAAAAAAAAAAAAAAAAAAAAAAAAAAGGCCCCGCCCCCCCCATAGGTTCAGCTTTCTGTAATCTTTCAGGATATACAGACAGCTCTTAACCCCTCACCCAGCCTCAGGAAGGTAACCCTTCGTGTGTGTGTGTGTGTGTGTGTGTGTGTGTGTGTGTGTGTGTGTGTATACCTGTGTCATGAAATGCCTACAGAGGCCAGGAGGGGGCATCAGATCCCCTGGAGTTGAAGTTACAGACAGTTGCTATGTGGGTGCTGGGAACCGAACCTGGGTCCTCTGCAAGTGCAGCAAGTGCTCTGAGCCACTGAGCCACCTCTCCAGCCCCCAGGAAGGGAACTTCTGAAATGAAACTGAAGCCACTGGGAAGAGAGATGAGCGCTTTTTAATCTGCGTGCCCCTTTGAGGGCACAGAAGCACTGAGCATGTCTATCCTTTTTGTCATTATTTAACAGCTTGATGAACACTGGAAGGGAGAAGGGGGATACTAGGAAGTCTTGTTGAGACTCCACATTCTCCTCCAAGTGGGTGCCCAGCCCAGTCCTTTCCTGCTCCCACCCTCCCCAGGCTCCCCGCCCCCACACTCACCCTGCAGTTGCTCAATAAGCGTCCATGCCATCCGGGAGCCGCTGGCATCAAAGACCACATGGCCCTGAGTGGAATCAAGTGGAGGAGAGGGGATGAAAGTCAGAGGAAAGAGAGCATCGGGGACTCTGAGCCCTTCTGTGTTTGATGTAGCTGAGCTCCTGAATGAAGGCTATTTATGGTGCTGCCTGCATATAGGACACACCCCAGATGCCTATACCCTAGATTCTAGAAAGTCTTCTTTTGAGAAGCTTCACCCATGGGACCTGAATGGCAAAGAGTCCCCAGAGAGAGAGCCCAGGAGCAATCACCAAACCCCACTGGGCACTAATTTCCTCACTTTAAAGGGAATAAGATGAACACTCTATTTGCTCTTTAAAATCTGACAGTTCTCATCTGACCTATAAACACCTGGATCAGCTTAGACAGCGATTTTTTTTTCTTTTGTGGGATTTTTCTGGTTTGAGGGTCCCTCCTTCCCTGGTCTAAGACTGACTTTTACAAAGAAGTAACTAGGAAAGCCGGGGAACTCGTGTTTCTAGACACCCTCTGAGGGCACCCCTGTCAATAGGGTGTGTGTGGCAGAGGCTGCTGTAACTCACAGAGACACCCTCAAAGGACGAGGAGTTCATGGCCCGGTAGATTTGGTCAGTTATGGTCTGGTTGTTGTAGTTGAAGTCCTCCAGGCGCACGCCTGAACGGCCACCTCCTCCAGATGTCTTGTTCAAGGCCAAAGCCAAAGCCCAGATAGCATCATAGGCCAGTGGGGCCTCCTGGAAGCCTCCCGTCTCCTCAGGATGTCTTTTGAGCCTCTTGGTTAGTTTCTCCACAAATTCCTGGGATGTCTAGGGGGAGGGGAAAAAAGCATCAGAGAGTATGTGGGCGCACCAGGAGGGGCCTAGTTCTGGCTCAGACACTGTGCCTGGAGTGGATGGTTTGTGTTCCTGTTGTCGGGTGGACCATATGCACAGTCAGAATCATTAGCTATCCCATGTGTCGGTCTCTGGGTAGAAGCTAGTAGACTGGAGCGGGGATTAGCTGGGTCCATGGTCTTAGCGTGTACAGCTGCTAGCTCAGAACTACATACAAACAGAGAAGTCTGATGGATAAACACTGGGTGGTGAATGGCAAGGGAGAGGGGCAGAGACAGAGAGATGGAAGAGTGGATTGCGCAATGAAGAGCCGCGAAGCTGGCCTCCTCCCAACCTTCAGATTTTCCCAGTAGAGTTGACCCCGGAGCTAACAGCTCCTCCGATGCAGAGAGAGCCCAGAAAAGGTGACACCACAGCCTTTCTCACTCTGCCTGCCAACAGGGAAGACTTTTCTCTCGGGTGCTAACTTCTTGCCATCCTGGTATGATTTCCACTTCCACTGCATCTTAGTCTGGTGACAGCTGGTGAAAATACCCTTCACAACTTGGAGGTCCATATCTAACCCAACTCACACCTCTCTTGGCATTCAGCCTTTTCCAAGAAAGCTACAAAGAACAGCAATCGCTTTAACTCATGGAGGAAGGGACACAGCTGTATATATCACGCCTGGCGGCATGCCTATGGGCAAACAAATCTCCAAACCTTCCCTTCCTTACCGCCCAGAAACAGACAGGACACACAAAACCATTTCTTGGCAAAATGCAGGTAAGACAGAGGAACTTCGCCTCTCTATGGAAGGAATGATACATAAATGAAGTAAAAATATCTTTGTCCCAGGCCAGTAAGATTGCTCAGGGGGTAAAGGCATCTGCTGACAAACCCAATGACCTGAGTTTGATCCCTGATCCCTGGGACCCTCTTGGTGGAGAGAAAGTAGTCCCAAAAGCTGTCCTCTGACTTCCACGTGTACACTGTGGCATGTGCACCAGGGGTGGCACACCACACACACATACAACACACGCACCAAAATAAATAGATAAAATAAAGTTTTTTTTAAATATATAGC